GGTGTCTTAAGCCGGCTCTTGCGGCAAAAATCTAATGAATTCTTGTTCAAAGTCAAACTCTCCTTTCATCTGAAGCAGTTTCCTTCAAAACTTGCAGAACAACATGAAATGATTAAAGTGACTGCTTTCATCCTTGAAGTACATTAAAATATTATCTATAAAATTTATCATAAATATATCCAATAATCGCCTGAAGATTTTATTCATTAGATTCATGAATATTGTTGGAGCATTATTCAATTCAAATGACATAACCACAAACTCATAGTGCCCATATCAGGTCTTGAATATTGTCTTGGTTATGTCATCTGTCTTAATCCTCAGTTGATGATAACCTGATGTAAGATTAATTTTTGAAAATATAGAAACCCTTTCCAGCTGATCAATTAAATCATAAATTACTAGTAAATAATATTTATTATTCGCAGTAAGCTTAATCAATTCTCTGTAATTAATGCACATCCTGAAACTATCATTCTTTTTTTTACTAATAAAATCGGTGCTCCCTATGGTGATTTGCTTGGCATTATAAACCCCTTATCCAACAACTCTTGCAACTATTAATTAACAGTCATTTTATATTGGTGCCCTGGATACTGACTTAGAACCTGACAATAGCTCAATGATAAAGTCTATCTCATTGGTGGTAAGAAAAACTTCTGAAAAATTTTGTCACCACAGGATATCATTCAATGATTTCACTTAGTGATATCTTTCGCCTGAGCAAGAAATTTTTGACCTCCATTGTTCAATAATTTAAAACCCTTCAAATATATAATTATCATTGAAGCCAAATCTTCTATCAACACAAAATTTGATTTTTGACTAAGTACAGTAATTTTGATTGTTTTCTAAGTATAATTTATGGTTATAAATTTTTTAGATAACCAATCTATATCTAAGATAACATCAAATTCAACTAGTGGTAAAACAATCAAATGTGCATCAAAAGCCCCTCACCATTATTCAATTTTACTTCACTTGACGAGTCCCATTCGACATTTTAACTGATAATGTTGTTGGCATTAATATAGTTATTCTAACCAACTCCTTAACAACAAATGAATGAGATGTCCGCGTATCAAATAATATTCTTATCGGCCTATCATAAAGGGATATGAGACATCATAATATTGAACGCTTAAAATGAGTTCTTTAATATTTATTTAAGTCTATGATCTTAAGAATAAAATATGTTCTAATGCAGTTAAAGTTTCAACCAATTTAAATCTTATTGAAAGTAAAACATACATGTGAAAACCTCAAGTGACTCCTTAGTTTCCCGTCGAGTTAAAGTATATACCCTAGTTAATATTTTGTTGGGTCTGATCTAGATTTTACACTGATTCTGTGGATTCAACTATCCTCTATCTGTCTAATCTCCTCTGAGAAGGTGCAAAACTGACTTTGGTATCTGATGGAGCCCTCTGTTCCAAATTAGAGCACTACTTTGCCATGTGTACAAGTTGATAACACCAAAAATAAGTAGGATCTAGATAAACACAAACTCTTGTGAAACTTTCCACACTTCTAATTAGCATCAACCGGGCAGTTGAACTCTCTGATTGAAATGATTGTTTGCTCTTGGAACTCTTTGAAAGTATGAACCCCCATTGAACCCTTCTTACTCTGAAAATCCCTCTAAGTAGCCTGTAAGTCCAATTCAATCTTTCTAACTCTCTCCACTGACATAGAGCAGTCATCAATCATAAAGGGAATAAACAGCTGCCTAAATATGTCTTTCAATATGGATAGAAACATGTGGTGCTTCTCTTTTACATTTGGAATAAGTTGGGGTGCATACCTCACGAGCATACTAAATTCAGCTTCATATTGCATGATCAACCGAACTCCCTGCACCAGCCTGATAAATTTATCAGGTATTTGCCTCCTAACTTATAGTGGCACAAACCAATCTTTGTGTGTGCTCACAAACCCTTCCCACCGCACCGAGTGGCTAGGTCAACCAGCAAACTTCTCGGGCAAATTCACTTGCCCCCATCTCTCGACTTCCTCCTAAAAGGCAAACACAACTAAGGTGAATATCATCCTTTATGGACATGTTATACCCTCTATAATTTTCTCCACTCTCATAAGTCAATTTTCAGCTTTCATTAGCCCTATTGCTTCTGAAAATAGTGTTAGTCTCATATTCTAAAATAACTTTAAGTACTTAGTCATCTGTGCTTCCCTACTGCTACTAGCTTGAGACTGAGAATTGTTATAAAATTTGTCACAACGGTCATCATTTTAAAAAATACAACAATATTGACTAATATTCTGGGGCATAATAGTTTCCATATTATCACTCCAAAATCTTACTCTTGATTGTCCATAATTCTAAAAAAAATCAAAATTAAATAATCTAAATAAACTTAGTTAAAGATTTCAATCTATACTATTTATGATTTCATTCCATTATCCTAATAGATCATTTGATTAGGATTAAACCCTAATTCTCTTTGATACTACTTTTGCCATGACGCCGTTCAAAAAACTTAGAACTAACTAAGGTGAGAACATATGATTGGACGATGAAAGAAAATTCTAAACATTACCATTAGGTCACTATAATATTTTTATATAAAAGAGTAACTAATTCCATAATGCACATGTAAGCAATACTCTTAATAAAGTTATAAGCATCCAGTCTATAACAGAAAGAACAAGTGAAACAATAATGGATAAAACATAGTAACAAATAGACTGTTACTTATTATCCCAAACACCATCTCTCCTTATGTAAACAAATCATCTCCTATCAGTCATATCAATCTATCAAACGTTTTTCTAAAAATAACAGTTAAGCAATATGTTAAATTTAAGCAATTTTGTGAATAATTACCACTTTATTATGCATTAAATTTTTATGCAAATGTCAACATAAATGTTCAAAAAAACATGATCATAACGTAAATTTGTATTTTTTTGTTTTTTATAAATTTTTTATTTAATCATCTTATCAATTATATATACATTTTTATTTGTTTTTCTTTTTTATTTCCTTTTATTTTTCGGAATGATCTCGGTGGTATAGTCAAAAAATTTTTCCTTTTGTAACATAAAGGCACAATTATTTTCATTTCCTTTTTCATTTTGCACCATAAAGACAATCATTTATTTTAACATGCATGAGTACAATTACATCCTTTGCTAGTATCATAGGGGTGACTCCTAATAGATATAATTGTTTATGTTTCTCTTAACTTATATTTTTTTCTTTTCATAATTAAATTCATTTAATCTTTCAATTAATGTAGCACAAAAGATAAAATAATGAAGATCATGAAACATTCGGATCGTTTTCATTTATGTTCATTCAAATCTAAGACTTCTTTTAATATCCGTAACAAATGAAATACTTTAAAAGCATAAAAAAATAATTTAATAAAAATAAAGTAATAATTATTAACTTGATCTTTCAGAGACTTCTATAAATGCTTATCCCTTCACGTAGTTCCTTTGATTATCACCTATATTATTTAAAAGTGCATATATAATGATTTTATTTCCAAAATAACAGACTAATAATTAATTAGTTTAAATGTTTTTCCTCAACCATATTTTTAATCAATTTCTCTTTTAAATCTAATTAGAGATTCCAACCCATAAAATTCAATATATACCTAATGACATTTAATTAAAACTTGCATAAAAGCATAATCATCTACCTCCTATTTATCTTTTCTTTTTATTGTACAATCACCAGGCTTGATCCAAATAGTCTTGCTTCCACGCTTCCTGAGTTTAATTAATATAAACTTATACCACCTTAAATGCAAATCAAATTAATATATAAAATATTTCAACAACAAACTCTAAACTCACCTTACTAAAAGTTATTCGACCGATCAAATCTATTCTCCCTTGGCTTTAAATTTGATTGTTGCCCCTTTAATCACTGTTTTTAATTCATGGTTTAATATAACATAATAATATCTGATTAAATAAACAAAATATTTTATATGAATAAGCACTATAAAGCCTACATATGTTTAAGTGATTGGGATTTATTGTGAGCGCGAGAGACCCTGCTCTCCTCTTCTAGGTTGTTAGGCTCGATTCAACAACTCTAGCATATAAGCATCTCCTTCCTTCATGGCCAGAACTGTTTGATGCTTCTCTTCTCCACATGCAGCTCGCACGTAGTGTTGAAGCCTCTCACGCACGTCGGCATCATTTTTCTCTCTTCTTCCTCTTTGCTCGGTTAGGGCACACTCCTCTTCCCTTCTCCAAATGAAGTCTCACACCAAGCATACACTGTTTGCACGATTGACTAGTGTTTGGTCTTCTCCCGCACTATGCCTCTCAACTTCTTTCTTCCACTCCGTCTCTTGACCTCTCTCGCTCTCTGTCTCTTCTTTCCTTCTCAATTTGAACGTAACCATGTTACAAGCAATGAAATTGTTGAGATGGTTAATCGAACCCCTAACATCGATTCAAAGTTTCTTCTCTTCTATCATTTATTTCATTTTTGTCAGTTGCAGTTATTACAATCTCAACAACCTAGAAATGAACTGATGGACAATGGGGAGTGATAAAGATGATCTTAATTTGTTAGGATAATGCTCATGCTAATGGCTATTATCCTCTGAGCTGTTGAAGTTTGTTTTCGTGCATGTCAACAATGTTAGTGCAGCTTGATAATTTAGAACATAAAATTGTTATTGTGGTGCACTTCAGATATGCCTACATTTTCTTTGGTTTATACTCTGTATCCCTTCGTATTATGAGCTCTTACTTTGTTCTGATTCTGTTTCCTTTTTTGTTATAGTTCGATGGGAAACTGGAATTACATTGCCCTTCTGTGCTACTTCTCTTTACAATTCGTTAATTTGCGATGCAATTTTCCTTGAAAATTTTCTTCATAAAGTTTTCCACTGCAGCATCTGTTTCACCTACATAGCTTTTACATCTGTGCCCCAATCAGCACTGTATGATCCAATCAATTTTCCGCATTCAAATATTGTATTTCATCTCTTAACTTATGGATTTCCCAGGTGAGGAAATCCATGTGCCGAATCAAACATGTTTTAACTGAGAGAGCAATCGCTGAGCCTGATTCCAGGAGGTCTGCTGACATGAAGAGAATGATTAATGCCCTTTGATTCCATAATTTTTAGAATAATGGTAATGATTTACTCTCTTAAATGTTTCTCAATCCTGTTCTAGAAATGTTATATTTGTGCAGATGCTTACAGAGGTTTAATCCATCTATGTGTTTTTTTAAAAATTTTATTTGATGTAATGCTAATATATTCAAACTTCACCAGCTTTATATTGATTGCTTCATGATTTGTTTCTGGAAATTAGCACAAAAAGACAAGTTGGGAGAGATTGAAATGTTGTTTCTACATCAAATGTCATCCTTTGATTTGATTTGATGTTGTTTCTACTCAGAAGCCTCAAAAAGACTTTTCTGATTTTATTTTTGTCTTCTTTACTGTTTCTTTCAACCATTTATAAATATGCAGAGCTGCTGATGTTTGACATTAGGAAGGGGGATTTATTTTATTCCCACTCTTTAGAAAACCAAGTCCCTTCCCCTGTCAAGTTATGGCTTAAATTATGTCACTGGAGTGTCAGCTATGGAAAAAAAATGTCAGAGGAATAATCTTAACATATACATTAAGTTTTTTTCTCACATCTTTTGGGGTCAGCATCATGCTTGCATCACATTTATGGATGCGCCAAAGTTAGTGATGAAAAATTATAATTGCACTTTGTTATAATAATTATCATAAGAAATTTTTTTTTAATTTAACTATTTTTGTTGTCTGGGTCGTGTGAGCTGGGCTCCACTAGATCTGACCATTGGGTGTGTTGCCCGACCGGCTCGCCATAAGCCCGCTTAGAATGTGCAAACTTGGCTGGGAGAAAACAAAAATTTAGTCGGCAGGGAGCCCTACCCGAGCCCACTTTGACTCACTCAACTTGCCATAGCCAAACTCTACCAACCCACATAAGTCCCGGCTTGAAAAAAAAAATTGAATTTATTTGGAGTGATTTACATACATATCATATAATTCTTGTTTGTTTAGTGTTTACATATCTCACAACTATATTTTTAATATTTAGTATCATGAATGATTTAAGTGTATTTGTTAATTTTGCATAAAAAAATGACTAAATTTTGCTGAAAGTTTTAATTTTTATATAAGAAATGATTGCTCTTTATGTGTTTCTTCATGCATTTCATCTTAGATTTGCATCTGTGAACATTAGATCCTAACCCCCAATGCATCCTGCACTATCTCATCCTCATAAAATCAAAATTAATCGTGATGTCAATGCAACTTTTTCGAGATTATGACTACCCTGTTTAATTTTTGAGAAATTTATATACGTAGCGCGTAGTTCTTAATATTTTTCTTACCCCAAATTCTCTTTTTAAAACCAGTGGGTCGGCCCAGCTTATGGAGCGGGCGGGTTTGGCTAGAATTTTTCAAATAGAAATCGGGCTCAAGCATGGTTAGAGCCCGTTTTGACTAGTCAAAACTCGATTAAGCCCGGCCCACGCTAAGCCTAGCCCGCCCAACGCCAAGTTCTAGGCTCCACTTAAAAATTACACATTTGGATTCATACACTTATCAACACAAGTTAATTTTAATTAATCGCAGTCGCAGTTATATTATTATTTAATTATCGATCATTTGTACAAAATATTATTACATCACATCATTAATTATGATTGATAGAATCTAAACGCCCGTTAATGAGAGCTATAATGAATGCATTGATGTCGTTGTAGTTGATTCAATATGTTGAAAATAAAGAAATCTTACCAAGGATTTTATATTTCTCCTTCATTACGTTTGACTCATGCGGACAAATGTGTCAATTAGTTGAAATAAAGATTTTAGAACTTGTTATCGAAATATTGTTGTTAATTCTCATTCTATTGAATTTGTATTTTCACACTTAGGGTCTGTTTGGGGCAGCTTATGCGTTTCAGGATAAACAGCTTGTCCTGAAACACAGCCCGCGGGTCGACCTGCGGATTGCGTTTAATGTAAAAAACTCAAACGCGGCGGACAACATTTTCAAAAACTCACAAACCAAACAGTTAAGCGGCGTTTTCAAAAATATCGCCGTATTTATAAGCTGCACCAAACAGGCCCTTAATTGTTTATTATTTTCGTGCCACGAAATTCTTATGTATTTACATATCTAATTCCAAAAAATTTTTTGTTTTACATTTATACTGCCCAAATCTCAAATCACGGACCAAAGGCATCACGGTTTTAACTTTTAATAAGTGACATAAATCTTTTCATGCATAAGGAAAAAAATTACCTAGAAAAAACACGAATGATTGAAAAATAGAATTGAAGAATATAAAAAGTATATATTAAAATTCAATACACACACACAAAAGATTGAAAAATAGAATGAGAAGACACTTAATTTTTTTACCTAGAAAAACACGAAAAGGGAAAAAAATTACGGGGCCCAGACCAGACAAAATATTCCATTTTAAATGTGTAATTACAAAGATACACAACTATCACACAATTAGAAATGAAGTATTACAACATCACACTAAGTGCAACACACCCGTGTATAATATACATAATACTTTAAGAGTATAAATAATGTTGTTGTATTCTAAGTACGACGGTTGAAAGTATTCATCAGTAGAAGTTATCACTGCATTTTTGAATGCAACATTAGTTTCTACTTCGTATGCATGATAATTCATAGCTCTGTATTTAGAATACTTTATTGCACAACAAATTTTACCAGTGGAGGCAAGTAGGGGGTGGCCGATGGTGGTCGATGAGCGGTCAGGGATACTAGAAATTTTTGCGAAACAAGTATATCAATCATGCAAGTATACATGTCGATCAAATAATATATAAAAATGAGTCTGTGTATCCCATGAGAATAGTGTCAAAAGATTTTTTAACAGGCGAAGTTAATGAATGACTAAGTCTAGTATAAAGTGATTAAATTTTAGAGAAAAATCTAATAGTTCTAAAAATGCAGTAAACATAAATGATTGGAAGAAAGTGTTGAGATTTTCAGATATGCAAGAGTCATACTTCTAAGACATCAGTCAGACGGTCTTTGAAGATTTTTTATGGAACCCATGCTATTGTTGACAACTACGGATAAAAATTATCTTTAAGTTTATGCCTAGATTAAAAGGAGAATAAGAAATCCCATAAAATTAAGTTATACTTAACCCCTTGGGTTTCCTGGGATCCTTTCAAATAGGTTGTAAAATCCTAACTAGAATATGCATATTCTACCAAGTTTTTGAGGTTAACTTACTTGCTCACTCGTTCTTCTAGACAACAGTCAGAAGTCTTAAATCAAAAGTGATTTTAACATTTTATCATATTCGAATAGAAATAAATTAAGTCTGAAAAGTCAACACATTAACATATAAAATTCATGCACAAAATACACGGCAAGGAAACAAAAATCCATAAAAAGAAAACCACATGCCTTAGATGACATGAGTATGAAACAAAGTCAATCACAATGCATGAGAAAAGAAAAGTCAATTACTTTTATTTCAGTTATAAAAAGAAAGATTACAGTGGAAGAGGTCAAAAACACTCACCCAGAGTCAATCAGTCTTCAACAATAAGCCACACTTCTCTATGATGAATAGAAGCTTTCACAAATCTCCTCTCATACAACACACTCAAACTCTTCTCTTAATCTTTCCAACTCTCACAACGAAATCAACATGAAAAGAGGAGAAAAAGAAGGAATATCCCCACCCTAGTTCTCTCCTTTGAGGAAGATGAAGAGAAATCAAGGGTTTGCATTCAACCCTCAAACCTACTTTAAAGAGTCTCCAAAGTCTGACTTTAGATTTTCAATTCGTGCCCTAGCATTCCTTATATAGAGCAGGTCCCAAAATGACATAAAATTCTTTCCAAAATTAAGTTTTTGCTGTCCAGCAACATCGCCACACCTGGAACTGGCATGTATGTGCCAGCCCTGGAGTGTACACACCCACAGTACACCCAGGTATGGAGTGTACATGCCTATATAAGCTTATTTGTTTGTCTTGACTCCATTATGTGCATTAGACACATGTAACTTACAAAATACCACCAAGGACCTTCCACAAGCATAAAAGCATAAAAAATAAGGAATAAAATATGGTATTCATGTAGTGAAATCACATTAATTTCTCTCGCATCAATTCCACCAAACTTACCTATTATTTGCTCTCAAATAATCTCATATTTCAACAAGGACTAAAATGATGTTCAGAGTAAATATGTGGCTTCCTAATTCCTCAAATAGATTATATCAATGTTATAAAGAATATGCAAATCTCATTTTAGGGTAAGATTTTTATTAATTTCTAGTGACCTAGTCCTTTCTTAAATTCCTTTTTTCCTAAAGCTAAATAAATTTCAAAATGTTTAAACTAATATAATTAAAATATTTTCATTTCCTAAAGATATTTTTAAATCAATTAAGATTCAACTGACCAACTTAACATTCCATAGCTTCTTCTATGGATATAATACTTTAAAAATTTCCTTAAGTAGTTTTAAGTCTTATTTATTAAGAGATAACTTAGGCACTATTTTTTTTTTTATTTTATGCTCACTTTAAGCTTCTTCTCAGGTTTGTTGGCCATATGTTCTGATTTTTCTTTTCAGTTATGCCTTTCACAATTCCTTATCTTTTATTTTCTTTTTATTTTTCCATTTCACTGTGAATTACTACATCTAATAGAGCACATTTCTTTTAAAAATTTTGAATGACTAATTACCCCTAAATGATAATTCTCAATTCTTCATAATTTGATCTCCTATTCATTCAAAAAATCAAAACTCAATTAAATTGGGTTGGTTGAAAATTAAAAGGCTTAAAGTATCTGGTTAACTACTAATTTTTTAGTTACACAATTTTAAATATTTTGAGACAACTTAAGATTAAAGTGAAAGTTGTTAATGTGTAAGGTTTAGTCATCAGATCATCAATCTCAATCCCTTTCTTAATGAGTATTCACATTTCAATTGAAATAATTATATAATCTTATCAAATTATTAAGATTCCTAATAAGACCACCCCCCTTTAGTGTAATCATTAGCTTAATCATGAAATTTAATTCAAGGCAAGTAAACATTCATCACACTCCCTCTCCCCCAAACTTATTTTCAATCATGTGCATGCCACAAAAAAATGGCAGGAAATGACAAGAGCATGTAATAGCAGGAAATTGATTATAGACAATTCAACATAAGAGAACATCAGCACATGAGGTTTACTAATGTAATCATAAGACTCTTGCATAAATAAAGCACCCATAAAGGTTCAAAACAAA